TGCGAGCTATGTAACAAATAAATTCGTACATTATTAGACACTTTTCTATTAGCGGCAATGTTTTCAACATAGCTTTTCTTTGTTATTTAGGTTTTAGCACAGGTTTTATAGATCCAGTCTCTTCAAATTTCTTCACAATTTTATCTATAGTGTGCACAGATGGACAATTATAACAACTACAATCTCCTCATAATTCTCGAAATGTACCTCCTACAGAATCACCATTTTTACAGTGAGTTTAACGCACATCGTTAACTAAATATATGATGCCTTGGGGCATGGTTCTATAAAAAACGACTTCTAACTCAGTACCAATAAACAGATAACCTTATTGATCGGTGCTCAATTGCTATTTTTCAGCGCATAGTTCACTCAAGATTTTTAAGCGTGTTGGTACTATAAACAGAATAAATGTGGCTCTAATAACGGTGGTAGTCTATGGTTTACGATCGAAGTGTAATTATTATCTTATGAAAATAATCTGTGGTTATGTTGACAGTTTGAGTGAGAGAGATATAGTAAAACAATACGTGTTTTAGTCTTAATCATTTAAGAGTTTAATAAAAATATTGGATGTCACAAGGTTGTATACATGGCATTGTTATTGTATGTTATGTATATTCTTTGTTATATTCTGTCAAATTTTTTGCAATCGGGTGTGGGCCACAAAACATATCACCCCAGCCTATGTAAAAACCCAGACACATGCTGCTCGGTGAGTATGCCGTATAACCGAACAAATTTTTGCATAGTGCTTGGTCTTGTAAGCGTAATTGGTTGATTTTTGAATATATTTTGATATTGAATATCGTAGGGAGCTAGATCGGTTATCCGATATTTTTTTATAAATTAAAAAAAAATTTGACACTAACAGTTATTAACACAATTTTCTTGCAATGAGACTAATTTTTATATAATATTACAATTTTTAATTTAGCTATTATAATAAATAATTAAAAATAATATACTATAAGATAACATTATAGTACGAGCTGCATTTAAATTATTTGGGCTAAATTACATTGAGATATATGATTTATTAAAAAAAAAATAAACAAATAAGGCTTTTATATTCCCTAACGAAAATATAATGTTTCTTCTTTTGATTGTTGAGTTCTGATAAATGGCGGATGGTCAACTCTTTTAAACCGAGAAATACTAAATATCATTGTAAAATTTCTAGCTAAAGAATTCTGTCAGCCTTTCATTTTATCCTAATATTATCAAACATAACTTTGTCTAGGGGAATTCGTAAATCCCGATAAACAAATTTTTAGTATAACATAAACCGCTAAAGATTATTTTAAATATATTTGCTTAAATTTGTTAAAGAATTTTAAGAATTTTGAAGCATAGCTACATACTATGAATCCATAGTGGTTTTATAATGCTGTTATACGAAAGTACTTTGTATTTTAGGTACTGGCGGAACCATCTGTTAATTAGGCCAAGGAACTAAGCAGCTTGAAACTTCATTTTTTGACTTCAATATGGTTGCGCTAAATAAAGGTGTATTCTTTTGGCATGAATGCTCCAATAAAACAAGAATACTTTGGCATCACTGCATTAATCAGTAAACATATGACAAGTAAAAAAATGTTGAACAATTTTGTGGTTGATAAATACATGTAATTACAAAAATACCTTTAGATAATTTTATAAAAAAGAATTTTTTTATATAAATGAATGAATGACACAAAAAAGCTTTAACCAAAATGAGAAAATATTAAACATCGTCAACATCAAGGAATGTCTTGGTATGCAGTAATTGATTAAATTTAGGGAAGGATTTAGGCAATACGAGATAGTCAATAAATTCGTTTATATAATTTTCAAACTTCAAACTAGTCATGTTCTAGCTAATGCTAAATGAGCAGTATTTAAAACTGTTTTATTTTTAATTAAACAGTCTTGTCTTATAAGTTTTTGCTCTTATTATAATGATTGTGTTTTATATTTTTTCATACCTATATTGCAGTTTTTAATGAACATAGAATTTAAAATTTCCTTCATAAATAATTAACAAATGACTTCTTCACAATTACTAACTTGTCAGCTTCTTCACAAATTTTATTAAAAAAATTACTTTTTTAAAATATTTAAATTTATTCAATTACACTAGCAACGGTTATAAATAATAAACAAACTTCTCTGTCATCTAACTGGAATTTTCCATATTTTTCCAACAATCATTCACAATAGATTAATTTAAAGATTTGGCAAGTGATTTATTTTTATGAATTTTGTTTTTGCTTTGCATGTTAATTTTTAAGCGACATGTATTCTATTGGAAAATTCATGTCAAAAGAACACATCTTAAGTCGACTGTTGTGGTGTGAATGCCCTAAGTACATTCTGCTATTTGCTATGATTTAAAATGAAATAACTATAGTAAATAATTGTAAAAAATATTTAAATGCAAATAAAAATAATTTTGTATGGAGATTTTTAATTTTTACTATTAATTTAGATTTACTTTTTTTGTTTTAAATAAAGTATCCAATTTAAATTAATTACTCTATTTGTATTTTTAAAAATTATAAATGCATATAACGAATATATTATATATGTATAAAAAATGTTTCTATTGTAATTCGATTAGTCTCTTTAGGACAGCTATAGATTACAAAAATAAAAATAAAGCCGAAAATTGTAATATTAAAAATTTTCTACAAAATTTAAATAACAAATTATTTTTATTTTATAAAAAATAATAAAAACATTTAAATAATAATACGTAACTTAATGTATATGAATGAAAAAGAGAGACTTGGATATTTATATTATTTATTCAGTTATTTTTTAAAAATTTTCTTCGAAAAAGTAAAAACGAAAAAGTTTTGTTTACGGAAGAATTCACAAAATATTGCAATGATAACATATATATATATATTTTTTTTTAATATATAATTATATAATTTATCTTTAATGGATTAATGTAACAATCGGTATTTCAGATAAGGGAGGACAGCACTCTATGGCACCTTAAATAACCTACTCATGCTTACAAAAGATTAAAATAATTTCATAAAACTTTCATAAATTAGCAAATCATATGCCATATAAAGCCATATAAAAATAGTAATAAAAAAATTAATAAATTAAGATAAATATATTACCAACAAAATATACAAAAAAACCAAGTTAATGATAATGGTAAATAATTTACAGATATGTTATCAATTTTGGCAAAAACCGTATTAATTTAGTTTCGTTGATTAGCGAAAAGAAAGCTTAATAAAAATATTTTTAAATAAACAATTAAATATTTACTTATCAAGATATACATAAGGGCACAGAAGATTATATTTAGTGGCAAAAAGGTTGACCAATTGTCGTGCATATAATCTTAAAATAATATATTGGGTTGGGCACAAAGTATTTAACGTTTTTCAATACACTTCATCTAAACTGACTAGACTTTAAAAAGAATTTTACATTCATTCTACAATTTTCATTAACACTAACTTTTGTCTAGTTGTTTGCATTCGAATATAAAAATCTAGTCAAAATCTAGTCAGTGTGAACACCAAGTTAGGTGCAAAAATGCAATTAATTTGTACACAATTTTTTTGTTTGCTTGATGAATGACAGATTAATATTTGTTGGGAATTAATTTATCTCTAAGATGGGAATTTCCTGTTAAGAGATATTACAAAATAAATATTTGCTACATTAACGGTTAGATTGCTGAAAAATGTTTTGAATGATTTGTTCTGGCAGTTTAAATATGAAAAATGCTTCTTACACTAATTGGTCTATCACTGAAAAATTAATATAGATATTGATCAAGAACCAGATGTGTAAGTAATAATGATTCAACTAAAGAACTGTATAAGCCACAATACTGTTTTGAACTATTTGCATTTAACTAATTATAAAAATAATCTATATGTTTGCGTGTCTTATGAATTGTTCCAATAGTGCATTACTGTTGGAACAAAACGAAACTAAACCTTATTCAAAGTTTAGCATTAGAAACAATGAAACTAGATTATATAGCATAATATTATAAGAAATATAGTATTTGTTCACAACAAGATAAAAAGTACCATAAATGATGGTAAAAGCAGTATTGACTACATGAAAATTAATGCTTTGTATTTAATAAATTTCAAAAATATTATTCATTATAAGCTACTACTATCAGAAGTTAAAGTTTATTATATATACTGGCAAAACAACGAAATAAATGTATTATATTGGATCATAAAAGTATCATTCATTACTAGCTGCTAATATGTGAAGCGTATACTATATATTTAATGGATTGACTGAGTATCATACTACTGCCTGTACAAACAATAGATATAAACAACTAAAAATTGTATATTATCATGATAATGCTAGGTCAAACACATTTTTGGTGACCTATTAAAAATTAAGAATGCTTGACTGTTAAGTATTCATGCATTCGCTGTAACCCACTGACATTGCACCCTCAAATTAACCAGCTCTTCGCATTACACTCTTGCCGAAAATTGTCTTCAAAAAAGGGCTGTGAAAGTATTCCAGGATTAAAATTTTGAAATGCCATTATAAAATAATAATTTTTTTGCTGAAAAATAGAATAAACTAGTTGAGTATCAAGAAGGCAATATTTGAATGAATAAAGTTATATTAGAAATAAAACTGTTTGATTAATTCTTAAATCAAATATATATGAATAAATAACAATTGACAAAATTTTAAATTTGAATAAAATAAATTAAATGTGTGTTATATTTATGTGTTGTCAAGTCCACATTTCATATTAGACAGGGTTCAATTTATGAGAACCCTGTCCACAAGTGTGAACAACTAAAATAATATATATTTTTTCAAAGACAAGGAATAATGAATATTTGGTGGCTATATGGCCAGCCAAAGAATATGGCCAGCCAAAGAAAGAAAAAAAAATTTTTCGGATATAAAATTCTTAGTTATATGTATTATTTATTTATTAATTATTATTAATTGTATAATTAATATTAAAAATTTTTTATTTTTCTGTTTAACAGTCACGATGTTCAAAGCTGTCAAAAAGAAGTCCAGTAAGTAATTATGCTAATAAAATATTAAATATATGTAGTTATACGTTAACATTTTGATTATATATTTTAAGATTTTTTTTTATTTTTAATAAAATATTATAAAATAATATATTATATTATAATTATTATTATAATTATATAAATTATAAATATAAATATTTTTTTTAAAAATATTAATTATATTATATTACAATATTATAATATATAGAATATATAGAATATTATAAAATATTTTTATAATATTCTTATCTTGGTTTTATAATTTATTATTTATGACTATTTATTTGTTTATATATATTATTTATTTTTTACTTATATATTATTATTTAATTATTATATTATTATTTAATATTATTTATTTAATTTATGTATTATTTATTATTATTTCAATATAACTTAAAAAGTAGACTTCTGTTTTCTAAACTTACCTGTGAATTTAAACCAAGAAACTAGTATTTGTACAATTACATCAGTTAGATTTTGATATGATGCTTCTATGGTTATATTTGACTCTAGGATTTAAAAGACAGAAAGTTAATCTACAGTCAGATAATCAGATCGGCACTTCTCTACAGGTGTGTCGCGTATAGCAAAGTTGCTAACTCTACTATCCAGAAGCTACAAATTGCTCAAAGTCAGTCTCCGATGACTCTTTAAAGTGCCATCGTGTATCCGCACAAATGACATGCTAGAATAGACCCGATCAAAAAATACAATATATATATATATATAAAAAAAATAAATAAGTGTCTGAACTTTATAATTTAAAATACGCGATAGTTTAGAGTTCATTGCTGCCATAAAACATATTTGGTTGTAGAACTTAAGGACCTTATCTCAATCGGTGTATAAAAAGTATATGTAGCATTAGCATCAAAAGTTGTCATAGTTGTCATAGTATATCAATCGATGGTGCCTACTTTGGAGGCGAGAGAATACATTTTAATCGATTGATCATTTTTGAGTTTGTTAATTAATAATTTCGGATGCTTTTTACATTTAAGGTATATACAAGAAACAATTTTTTTCATACATTATATTTTCTCAGGTCTAAATTATTGTTATTATTATTATATTATCATAAGAAATATTTATATACAAAACAATTTAATAATATGTTATGGTTTAACTCTTTTCAGGGTTATTGATGGGCATGGTTAATGCTGAAGCAGACTTAAATGAAGCCAAATTTATATATTACTATGGGTAATATAATATTTAGATTATATTATTTTAATTCATAATTTCCTGTTTTTTTTTTATTTATAACATAAATTATAATTATGTAATTTTAAATAAATAATAATATAATATTTTAATACAAATAATTCTATTATTGTATGTTATTTAATTACATATATTATACTCGTATAAATAATGCTCTTTTTATCTCACTTCCTCTCTATTTTTCCCTCTAACACAACTTTCTTTCCTGTATAAAATCAATAATTCACTATTCATTTTAAAATATCAATTAAAATTTCATTTTTAATGTGTCATACATATTGTCGAGGGATCGTTGAAGTCGTTTAAAATAGTCTATCGACATATTATTATTGGTTTTTCTTTTGTGCTATTACCATACAGGTTCCACTCGAGTGTTGTGTGACATAGTGCCTGTGTAGACTCTGATAAACAGCATTGAGACCATCCAATTTCTATTTCATGTGCTTTAGACGTAAATGTCTGTTCATTTCAGCTATAGTAGGGGATTGGTTTTAAGTTTTCTTAATTAAAGGCAAATCCCCACATATCATATTTTGAAACTAGTTGCTAGTAGTCACTTTCTACTAAATTATAATACTAAAGAGTACTTATCCCTCCGAACATTCCGTCTCTAGTTCTTCATTTTATGTAAATAGAGCTTGCTGTGAGAGGTCTGAGGTTGACGTTTTTTTAGAGCAGTATTTTAGCTGCAGTATTGGATTGATATGTCAAAAATAAATAATAACCTTGTAGAAATAGATTCTCCAATCAGTCATATCCTAGTGAATTATAATGTTGAGGAACAGATATGCTTTTAAAGGTTCGGTATCTAGTCAATCATACTGTGTAAACAGCGTTCGCAGCGAGTTAGGTATGAGTGACGATTATTTAAAGGGATTTTTTGTGATATGTCATAAACCTTGCGAAATAGTCTATATTATGCTATATAATTATAATGTAGATCTAAAAATAATTTTTCAATACTAAGATTTAATGTTACCTATAATGTAAAGAACACAAATCGAATTTTTTGACCCATTCTATTAAAACAAATCCATTACCTTTCGTACATTTTCTAAGGCACTCGCATAATCCAGTCCAAACAACCAAATAATGCCTTTTTATATATAAAATTAATTTTGTTTTTCCATTTTCAGGCCGACTCATGGCGATAGTTCAATTTATAGCTTAAATGATTACAGCTCTCTATTGGAAAACTCCAACTTCGACAAATCTAAAAATACAGTTCTCTATTTACATGGATATTTAGAAGACCCAAGTGTTGAGAGCATTCATGTTATTGTTGATGCTTATATGCAACGGGACGATATCAATTTAATTATTCTGGACTGGAGCGAGCTAGCTGATGGCAATTATATGTTTGATGCAGTTGGAAATGCTAAACAGGTCAATATAATATTTATTTCTTGTTGACTTCTTATAATTTTTTTTCTAATAAATTTTGTTATTTTTTTTTAACCTTCTTAATTTATTAACCTTCTTTAGCTTGGGCCTATTATGGCGGATGTTCTGTTGAAAATGTTTGAAAGTGGCCTGGAAATAAATACATTTCATATTGTAGGACATTCACTGGGTGGACAAATGGCTGGTATAATAGGTAGAGAAATTTATCGTTTAACCAATAAGACTAAACAAATTAAGAGGTAAAATCCTAAAAAATGTATTTATCAAATATTTTACTGCACGTATTATTACATTTAGAATAACGGCTTTGGACCCTGCTTTTCCTTTGTTTTACATGGGCAAACTTGCATCACATTTGAATAGAAAAGATGCGGAATTCGTTGATGTTATACATACCGATGCCTGGCTGTACGGTGCACCGGTCAGTACTGGCACCGCTGATTTTTGGCCTAATAGTGGCAAAACACTACAGCCTGGTTGTCCAAAACGCAACTACAAAATGTTAACTGATAATGGTAAACTTTCATATTTTTAAGTTATATTCATTCAAATTAAATTCATTAAAAATTAACTCATTTTAATTGAAAATATCAGCCAAGTAAAACGGTAGTTAGTAGTGCTTTCTATTTCAGATTTATCAAGTCACAGACGTTCATGGTGGTTCTGGGCAGAAAGTGTTACGGGTAAATTTACAGATAATTTTGAAGCGGTCAAAGCCAAAAACTGGAATGATTTTAAGAATGGTAAAGTTTTATCGAGTAGTCACAATATCGTTGTTATGGGCCATGACTGCCCAACAAAGTAAGTTTGCGTACCCCCATCCCTTTTCATATACATTTAAGCGCAACTTTGAAAAAGGCAATCATTTCATATATCATATATCATTGTGCATTTGATTTTCAGTATTTGTGGAGACTACTTTTTGCAAACCAATGGCATAACACCATTTGCTAGAGGAAAAGCTGGCACAATATATGTGGAGCCAAAAGAACTTATTGGATACAAATATGTTAATCCAGATATGAATGATGGTTTAGAGAAGTAAATTGTGGATTTTTTTTATTTTTTTTTATTTTATTTTATTTTATTTTATTTTATTTCATTTTATTTTATTTTAATGAAGTTTATTAATTTTCCTTTAGAATTAAACAATTGTTTTTAAGTTATAAGATTATTTTTCTGTACATTATATATTATTACTATTATAATAAGAAAAGTAAACCAAAAGGAACATTATCTATGATGGAAGGTTTAATGATTTTACTATTTAACCAACAAAATATGTTGTATCAACTTCTGGTATAGTTCGATCATAATGTCTTAGATTAGGGATTCAATTATAAAACAAATACATTTTAAAATAATATTTCTACTTAAGTAACAAAGCTGCGATCAAAGACACTGCTTTTTTAAATATACATTAAAATATTTATACAATTGTAAATACTTAAGTTAAAGATAGCGTTCTTATTTGATCCATTTAGTAGCAATATTCGAAAACTATTCAAAAAATGTATAAGTACAAATATTCCCAAATTAAAAACATTCAAAAAACTTACTTTAAATTTGCTCTTCTTTTTTTTAATATACAATGGTAAAGCGGTCTGTAAAAAATACAGGTGGGTTTAACAATTCTATCTGACAGAGAATATTATCTGTTTGTATAAAAAATGAAAACCGAGAACCAGAAACATGGTACTGTTGATAAGCATGTTCACTTATGAGAGTTATCGTTTAATAGAGCTAGCTAGGTATATAGTTCACAGTAACTATATTTATCAACCTTAGTAATGGATGTTCCACATCTTTGTCAGGGTATATATTTTTAATAATAACTTATTTTAAATTTTTCCTTATAATTATGAATGATTTACATTTTATAGTAATCTTCAACAAACTTTGTTTAAATAACTATTTTAAAACTACTCTCACTCCATCCCTACATAATTAACTTTATTAGCTTATCATGTGTACGCCATGGGTGTGTCAACTTTTATGTTAAATTTGTTTATAAAGTGTAAAAATTTCTTAAACTGTTTAATTGATTTATCATTTATAGTTGAATTTCTATCTTGTACTTTTTGAAATCAATAGAAAATAAATTTAAAGTTAAAAGTTAAAACTTTTTATATATATATAACCAAACGTAAAGCTATTATTAGATGTCTCTTTATATAAAATGGTAGGTAGGTAGGTTGCAGTGGCGGCCTTGTTTCCAAAAAAAGCCCATTTGAGCTCAAATAATGGCCCATTATGGTACCACAGGAAAAACATGTATACGTACGTAGATTGAAATCAGTATACAACCAATGCCGAAAAAGTAGAAGTAAAAAAGTAAAGTAAACGCCCATTAGGTAAAGGAAAGCCCACCTGACAGTTCTGTAAATTTGGCTAGATCCCTAATATTACAGGATAACAGCTCAGTAAAAAAAAGGTGCTCCGAAGATATTTGATTTTGCCTAGCTAAAGAGGGCACTCACACATAAGATGAAGCACGGTCTGTCTTTATTAAATTAAAGCCCATGATATAGTTGATCATAACAAGTTTACAGACTTTAATAATACACTTTTAGATTATTTGTCTTAGATTTACTCTACTGAAGCAGTTGACAAAAGATACTAAATACATAATGTATCCATTCTAACATAAACATATATTACAATATAATAAACAAATATAAATAATAAAGTAGACTTATGTCGCTTATGTCGGTGTTCTGCATGATTAGATCGCGTCAAGGATCTTAGTGTGAGGACAACTAAGATCCTTACAGTTTCTATTCAAAGGATATTTTTGTATGTTGAAATTTTTTATACATAGCCTTTAGGTATAACATTTTATTAAATTATTTAATTTATTTTTCCCTTGCATCAATCTTATATGCTATATATAATCTTATATTGCTTGAAAACTCTGCTATTAAATGGATCAATATTGAATAAAATATACAATAATTTTATGAAATATAAAAATTACAGATGATGTTCAAAATTCAATGAATTAAATCATTTTTACACTTTTTATACCAAATTTATATTAGCCCAGGGTGTTTATGATTTAAGTAATAAAAAATTTTGTTAATAGTTTCAAATATAAATTTTTACTTAATAATATTAATATGCATTCGCATTCCATACGTAAAATATTAAAAATAAATAAATACGAATTTAACCAAATCAATAACACGTTTGTTTTAATATGAATGGCGCTTGGTCGTCGTTTTTGAAACCTATTATTTGTACTGAAATATTATTGTTAATTTTATAGTTCATTTTCGTCCTAAGCGCTGTGGAATATCTATTTCGGTTAATACTTATAATGAAACCCCTAATTATATACATATGGTTTATAGAACATTTTAAAGTACTAAATACTCTAAAAGTTTTCGGGTCTACATGCAATTTATTTATATATATGTATATGTTTCCATTCAAAATATAATACAATGAATTATTACCTGAAGAAAATAAAAACTTCATTATAACTTATATGACATAATTGAGCTTCATAAGTTTAAGGTCTCACGAGTTTACTCAATAAACGAGTAATACTGCAATACTTTGTATATTGATGTTACTGTACTGAGTAGAATTTCGAATTGAATTTTGCATCTAAACCTTTATTTAATCAGAATACCACAGTTACAATATACTCGAATTGATCCATTTGGATTGAAAATGTACGAGCAGCTTCAACATATTTTACTAGTAGAAGACCTGCTTTAACAACAAATGATTAAATATTATGTGCATATATGATTTATACATTTGTTACATTTTCGGGAAGCACGTATTTGGATCGAAATCCACCATACTCGAACATCAAAATGCTTGAAGCTTCAGAAAACCCGAAACCTTATAAATATTATATTATACATTAAATTATAAACAGAGTCAAATAAACCGGAATCATAATATGGTAATCATATATTACATTATATAATAATAAATTGTATGACATAAATAATTTTGAACAATTTTTACATAATTATAACTATTTAATGTACAAATAAAATCTTATATATTAAAACAATGAACTTCATAAAAGTAATAAAAATTGTTGACATTTATTTCCTTTTTCGTTGTTATAACTTAGTCTTAGATATATTTTCGGGATTTATTCCAATGACATACGCAGCAGTACCTTTTGATTTTATGAACATATATACCCATGTACGTAATGATGAAAACTGAATAGCAATATGAAACTGAAACTGATCCACTCGGATCAATTTTGAAATTGTTTGGTCCATTTGGTGTGATAAGTAAAAATGTAGTAGTACTTATAAATAAGATTAATATTAGTCATAAAAACACACAACCATGACTGCTTCACTTTGGATTTAAATTTTATCGAATCGGTTGCTAAAGTGTTAAAGCTAAACTTCACTTTACAATCGCTGAAGTACACTGTTTTTAAGAGTATACTATACTTGAAATCAGTGACGACGCGTGCCCTATTTGGAAGGGTGTGCGGCTCTTCTTTAATGTTTTTTTTACATGTACCACTTAAATTAAAATATATGAGATGTTTTATTAATAATAACCATATTATATTAGGCAACAATATATTCGCAATATTATATTAACAATTCATTAACAAAATAACATATTAAACAAATTAAATTAATAATTTATATATAAATTTAATATTATATCAATATGGAAGAAACAAAACATTTCACATAATTCTCGTAACATCAAACCAACTTTTTTCAAACAAAAGAGTTTGTACTTAGAAACATACATGTTTGTGCAGTGATCAAACAAAATCGAAACCACTTGCAATGTGCGCACAAGTACCCCGCACCATAAGAACAGAAATTCGTGGGTGCTGCTGTTAAAAGGGGAGAGACGAAATGTGATAGAAATGTATGGTGAGATGAGCTGCAAACTTCAGCAGCTCATGCAACTACTTTGGCAAATCATAATGTTGGATTCGTATGCATGCAGTTGATATTCGAATAGAACAGAAAATTACTCTCATACAATTCTCACTATATAAATCTCTATCTCTGATATTACGAACGGGAGCACACGCACATTATTTTGTTCATATGCAACGTATGAATGTGCTGCCAACTTCTTTGCACACAAAGGGGAGAGACGAAATAAAATAGAAATGTTCTGTGATTTGAGCTGCAAATATATGAGCACACCTAACAAGTATAGCAGCAAAGAGTATATATACTCTATGATAGCAGCTAACAGAAGCAAATTGATTGAGTTTTCATAGACAATTATATTTAATTGTTTTTGCTAAAACTTTAAAAAATATATATGTATATGGAAATGTAATAATTAATAATAATTCTTGATGTGAAGATACCTAATAAATTTATATACCTATGTTCTTTGACATTATGTTAGGGTGTTCACCGCACACCTCCGCACCTTAGAGCAATCGTCACTGCTTGAAATTATGTTCTAAAGATATAGGAGTGGTAATACTTAATTATGTTTAATAACTAAGCAAATGTTTCCGTTTCATAACTACAAGCACCGGATCATAAATCCAATCTTAATGCACCGGATCATAAATCCAATCTTAACAATATTATCTTTACAAGCATAAACCAAACAATGAACCATCATTGATATTTTTACAATTTCTCGAGTTTAGTATTTGTTTTATTTTGTTTTTCACAAAATTTTCGCATCATTGTTAGTAAAGTTGTGAGATTTGTACCCAATTTAGCGCTTATTGGTATAACAGGTGCTTCTATTCGTCTTCTTAACTCTTCAACATTATCTAAAGCTTTTGGTTGATCTATTTTATTAGCCACTACAATTTGTGGCCGATCCCCTAAATGTAAGCTGAACATTTCTAGTTCATACACAAGCTGTTGATAGTGTTCCCATGGTTTTTCGCTGGAAGCATCCAATAAAAACAACAATACTGAACAGCGTTCAACATGCTTTAAGAACTGTATACCCAAACCCTTGTTCAGATGAGAACCTGGTATCAGACCAGGCAAGTCAGCGATAGCTAGTTGAACATGGTCCTGATACTGCACCATTCCTAAATGTGGACGTAAAGTTGTAAAAGCGTAAGGTGCTACTTTAGGTTTGGCGCGAGTTATGGCATTTAATAAAGTACTTTTTCCAGCATTAGGAAATCCAATAAAACCTACATCAGCCATACTACGTAATTCCAAAATGTATGAAACATCTTCACCAGGAGGACCGTATTCACATACTTTTGGTGCATGTTCTTGTTCGGTTGTGAAGAAGTGATTACCTTTACCACCAGCGCCACCGCGTGCAGCTACAAACATTAAATCAGCTCGATCTAAATCACCGACCACATGACCATTGACATCACGTATGATAGTACCTACTGGCACCTTCACAATTGTATGCTGTGCGTTCTTGCCATGACAATCTTTACTTCTTCCTGATTCACCTTCGGACGCACGAATACTTGAACTGATATGATTTAGATTACGTACATCAATTGAAGCTTGAAAGATGATGTGACCGCCATTACCGCCATCACCACCATCGGGACCAGCACGTTCATTACACCACAATTGCAAGAACGAAATACAACCATCACCACCTTTACCAGCAATTACGCGCACATATTTCGAATCGGCAAAGTAAGTTGTCTAAAAGTTCAAAACAATTGTATCATAATAATCTTGATTATTAATACATTAGGGAATACTTACTTCTTTTCTAGTTGATTTAGCTTTCTTTGGACGTAAAGGCGCGCAATCTGTATAACTTACATTTAGTACTTTCAATTTTTGTGTAGATTGTCTTAAATTTAATAATCGAATTGCACTCGCACAGGCACTCACTGCGCGTTTACCAAACATCTTCGCTGCAATATTACAACTTCTTATGGATGATTGTTTCTCGATAAATAGCGCATGTGTTTCATATAAAACGTATCAATAACAATAATAAAAAACAGCTGCTTCTGAAAAATATTCAATTGAAAATAATTACAATAATTGCATTGCACTTAAACGATGTGATATAAATGCATAAACATCACGCATACAACGAATATTTCCTACAATCGTTTAGACTTTGTTAAGCATTACTCTGACTCCTCTAAGGGACTCAAAAAAAGTCGGTGATTAATACTAGAGTATGTTTAACGAAAAAAAATCAAATTGAACAATGTTGTTTCTGCTTTGATTCAGTAACGTATACTTACTGTGTTATAAAATTAATTATCAATTAATTTATTATTAGATTTTAAAATTTTATATATTTTTATATTCTTTAATTGTGCCACAAGCCATAGCGCAGTTGTTTGACATTTCCATTGTTTGTAAATATCGATAACTTCGATGTCAAGCAAGAAAATAATAACAAAAAACAGCTGATTTTGAATCTATTTTATCGCATTTGCTTATTTTTTGCTAAAATCAAAAGCGGCTTTCTTTTTTTCATAAAAAGGTATTAAATAAATTAATTTAAAAATTATAAATTGAACTAAAACATGGTTGTTTAAAAAGTACATTTTGTTATGTCGTTTATAATATTCTACATATTTCTACAAGCAACAAAAAATATAAATAATTAAAAGTTTATATAAAATGCTGAAAAAGTCGTTACTAAATGTGTTCTCTAATGTAATGCGTATAGGTCGCGTCCAACATCGACAAACCGAAAGTGGTAATAAGATGACATTGAAGGCAGCTTTAATAGACTTAAGTGGCACATTACACGTTGAAGATGAAGCAACACCGAATGCCGTAGAAGCATTAGAAAGGTAATTGTTTTATGTTAATATATATAGTAATTGATATGCACTGTATGAAATATTTTTTAGATTACGCGCTTCCGGCGTAATTGTGAAATTTGTCACAAATACAACAAAAGAGTCCAGTAATACATTATATAATCGCTTGTGCAAAATTGGCTTTAATTTAAAAAAGGAAGAAATTTACAGCTCTCTTAGTGCTGCTGTTAATTATATAAAACTTCACAAATTAAATCCTTATTATCTTGTCAGTGAAGATGCACGCACGGATTTTCCACCTTATGATAATACTAAACCCTTTGATTCCGTGGCTATTGGACTAGCACCTAAAGAGTTTCATTATGATAACCTCAATAAAGCTTTCAAGTTTGTGCATTATATAGAAATTTAAAGGATTTAAATGTAATTTCTAATTCGTAACAGCATTTTGTTGGCTAATAAATGTAACCAGTTGATTGCTATACATCAAGGTAAATACTACAAGACTAACAATGGGTTGGCGTTGGGCCCAGGTTCTTTTGTTAAGGGTCTACAATTTGCTACAGGAACAGAACCTATCGTGATTGGAAAACCAAATGAGTATTTCTTTAAATCTGCTATACCTGCAGATATTCGCCCTGAAGAATGTGTTATGATCGGAGATGTGAGTTCTTGAATATTTTTTATATGTCGAATTCTATGTATTTTATATGTCGATTTTTTTTTAAATAGGATGCTAATGATGACATTGAAGGTGCTATGTCTGCTGGTCTTAAGGGTATCCTTGTAAAAACTGGCAAATATAGAAAGGAAGTTGTTATAAGCCCAGAACCAACGGCACTTGTAGAGAACTTTAATTCGGCTGTTGATTGGATTATATCTGTTAATACGTCAATATGAATAAAATTTTAAAAAATCTCTGAAATATGCACAATAAACATGATGATATTATGGTGCAATTTTGATATCAAATAAAAATTAATTTTACAAAAGCTGACAGAAATCTTAATATACGAGAAATATCGCATAGTACGAATATATATATTAATCAAAATATACTTGAATATGCTGATCAATGCAACTATTAGTATACTTCTTAATATGTATATGTACATATAAACATTATATATACATTATATATACATTATATATACATTATATATACATTATATATACATTATATATTATATATATTATATATATATACATATATACATGTATATATACATTTATTAATATGTTATCCATGTGAATATATTTATTAAAATATACACAAATATGCTTATTAATATCTACTTAAGTATATTTTTATGAACAGTATAGACTTTTTTTGATCCAGGTAAAGTAGTTCACATTGTTTCCGAATCTATAACTGCGAATGATATAATCATGAAAGGCTAAAAACCATCCCCCCAAACAAATTCTGTTGAGACAGTGAGGTGAAAAGTTTTTATTTTACTACCCTTGTAGTATTTTTTTTTTTTAATTTATTAGACCAAAACAAGTGTATTTCGTTAGTTTGTAACTTTAGTTTGAAATTTTTTTTTTTCGATTTGTTTGAAATTGTTTATTGCAAAGTTTTTAGATATAAAAAACACTTCATGACATTTATTTAATATGTCTGGTCCGTGACATTTGAACAATCGCTCCATAAAATATTATACTACCGTTTTTTTGGAAATGTGAAAATAAAAAAAAATATGTAGTCATATAATTATTTTAATTAATATAATTAATAACAGTTGGTACTATTTTTTTTCTAATTTGCAGTTCGCATTAAAAAATTATCCATATATATATATATATATATATATATATATATATATATCTATATGTATATATCTTAACTATATACATAAAGTTAATTAATATCATTTTCGGATAAATTATCTAAAATGATTTCGATTTATCAATTTGATTGGACGATTATATTTTTTAAAACATACTCCTCTTCAATTATAACTTCTTTAGCATTTAAGACTTGAATTTGTTAAAACAAAAAAAAATATGTTATGCAACACTTTTTAAAAACATAGCTTTTACAGAAACTGACAGTTAGGGTCTTTAGTCGTTATTAGTGAAACTGCTTTTATGTTAGGGGTATTTAGATATAACATTGTATATGGTAAAATGATGAAATAAATAATCATTAATCATGAGATGGTAAATATGTGAAATTTAACTGTCAAAACAATTCATTTCGTTTTCATTTATTTTATATACTTGCATATAGTTAATTCAAGAAAATTCCAAAAAAGTGAAAAATATCAAATTATAATAAAATTTCTTCTGTTTAATTTGTAATTTATTTAAGTTTGTTATTTCTTTTCGAATTGCTTCAAATTTAGTTCAAATTTAATACAACACTTCTTGATAATAACAATCAGATCTTTTATCGAATACCGAAAAAATGATATTAATAATAATATTAATAAAATAACAAATATATATGAAATTTTATCACGTTATCGAGTATATTGTTTTTATGCTTGAATTACGTATTATTGCGGTATGAATTTTAATAAATTTTTCAGTTTTCGGTAAATTTTTCAGTATTTTGATGTTTGTTATTGTAAAATGTGTTACCAAATTTAAATTAATTTATTAATGTATAAAAAAGCATTAGCTTAATTTTGTTCGTTAAATATTTGCTTTTATTTAACATAGACAAAACATTTACTATTACGAAAAGAGAATGAGGGAGTTTCTTTAAACGTTTATCATTTTATAATTCTGTTGAATACCTAGTTATCGATTATTCTTTTACCATTCTTTTGTTTCATTCAGTTTCCATATATAAAACTTTAATTTTTTTGTTGTAGGTAAGATAAATATTAGTAATTGTATTCTATATTCAATATATTCCAAACAATATAGCTAATCTATATTTGGTATTTTACTTTTTGAAGATACTAATAAAAGAAATTAAAGTTATCGATCTCCTGACAGTTAACAGATGATTAAAACTGTATGTAATTGACAAATAAATACAGCATTCACTTATCATTATATGAGACATATAACTAAAGTGTGATTTATTTTATTTTTTAATTTTTCAATTAACGATTTTTAATATTATACATTTGTTTTGTTTTAAATTGGTTTAAAACCAAATAACATTTTTGTTTTTATTAATTTTGTTATTAAATTCATTTTATGTTATTTGTAACAATTTGTATTGTACATCATTCATTTCTCTGACAGCTAACAGCTGTTTGATGTTGTATGTGATTGACAAATAAATACAGCATTCACATTTCATTATATGAGATATGTAACTAAAGTGTATTTTATTTTATTTTTGGATTTTTTATTTAGCGGTTTTTATTGTCATTTTATATTAGTACATATACAGTAAAAAGTTGAGTTATTCCTATAGCTTAATATTTTTAGTATTGTAAATAAAACTTCTCTATGTGCAAGATAAATTATTTTACCACACTGTTTATGCTTTATAAACATAGCTCAGACTGAAAGTGACGTAAAGAATAGGAAAAACAAATCGTCCGTGCAAATTTCATTCGCTCTTAAATTTCAATAAGTTTATTACGTTTACGTTATAAGTACGAATTATTATAATTTATTATTCATAATATTAAAGTAATTTTTATCCGCAAAGTGTTCAAAATATAAACAAAATGCCAAAAATGTGATAGCCGCGATTGGGCGTTTTTATGTATTTGGAATAAAAAGTGAACTAAAAAAGGTAAATGAAAAAGTTTTAACGAATATAAAAATACAACGAAAATAATAGCAATATTATTAATGTGATTTATTTAAATATGATGTGCAGTAAATACATATAATAAAATTCGAAAAAATAAAATAAAATAAAAATTGTGTTAATATAAATAAAAAAAATTTACGAGCATAGGCAACCACTTATTTACTTCAGTGGACAATTTGTATGTCGGTACGTATGTAGCAAAAAATATATACACATACATGTACATATATGTAAATATATATAAGTATGTATATTTTTATGTAAACTCTGTTAGTGTTTGTACTAGGGTGTTTATGCATATGGTTACGCATACTGCATGCAATTTATAATGCTGTATTAATATATAAATATATAAAAAGAAAAAAAATATGAAGAGATAGATATGCAAATAAATAGATAAAAATATATATCATTTTATGCACATTTCCGGTAAACGTGCAACTATTGCTGTTCCCCATAATATTACTTTAAATAAACATCATCAACACAACAACAACAACAACAACAACAACAACAACACGGCAACCACCACACCAACAGTATTGGTGTTAAAAATATGGGAAGACAGATTGTCACCTAAGGTGTCAAACAGCAATCAAAGGATCATTAAGTGTGAAGCAAAATTCAAATATTTTCATAAACAAATAATTATAAACAAATTTTGGAATATGCAAAAGTTAAAAGACGTTATTAAAAGATGTGCATTAAGAAGTAGCGGAAATGCTCTTTTAACAGAATCTTTATAGAAATTATGTTTATTTGCTGAGTCAAAGTATATACATTAAATAGCTTAATTTTACAGCTGAATAAACCTATTAATATGTTCATAAATAAAGTGACCTAAGTTGGACTTAAAATATTATACAATAGGAAATATATAATAATCTAATCCCGCTATTAGAACCTTACAACTTCGTCAATAAGTATTGAATAAAAAACTGATTTATATACACTAACGAATCTAAATTGGTTTTGAAATCGGAATAATTGTAAGGATATAGTTGCATTTCCGATTTTTCAGACAACAGATTATACTAGAGTCAGCCATTGTCAACGTATTATTCCATTACGGTATATTCCGATATAGCGTACTACTCAAAATATCAAGTTTTGAACGAATCTAAATTAATTGGTTTTGAAAGTGAAATAATAATTAAAATATTGGTGGGATTCCGATTTCTTAGGCATTGGATTATAGGAGAGTCAGCTATTTAAAACAACTTTTTAAACTGCATTATATTCTGATATAGCTTACTTCTTAAGATATCACGTTATAAGCGAATATAAATTTATTAGTTTTAAAAGTGGAATAATAATAAAGATATATGTGTCATTGCGATTTCAGGGCAAAGTGACTATATATACATTTTAAAGCTACAATCTTTTTAATAAAAACAAAAAACCACATACGTCGTCTATATTGATTCCATAAACAACAGTTCATCTGGTGCGTCTACTTATTGTTGATAGTTGTCATCCAAAAATTTCAAACCAATATTTTCTAAACTAAACTGTTGTATATTGACGTGGATCGTAAGAGAAAAAGTTATTCAATATAACTGACTTTACTAAAGTCCATTGTTAAATGGACGTAACCTGGAAATCAGAATCATATCAAATTTTGTATAAATTTCAAAGCTATCAACTGACTATAAGTACCTTTACGAGTGTATCATAACGAAATCACTGATTAATCTATTTAAAAAAGGAACTTGTGCTATAAAATGTGATTTTATATATAGAGATATATAGAATAGATATATAGGTTATATATATATATATATATATATATATATATATAATATATATATATATATATATAAATATATATATATATATATATATATATAGGATAGGGACTTCTGTATATCTAATTTCAGATTTTTATATTTCAATATTAAACTGTGATGCTGCACATTTAAATGCCTTGAAGTCTATATATATATATATTTTCGTTGACTAGATATCTTATAGAAAACTTTCAACACTTTTCGTTGACTAGATATATCTGATTTTTTCATATAATGAGCGTAAAATTTAGGTGTTTTTATATCTTATAGGAAACTTTCGTCATTTATTAATTGATGTGTCATATTTTTTTGACTGTTTTGTGCTATATATATTCGTTTTAAAGTGATTCAATTTTGAACTAAAAAAAGTTGAAACAAAGCTAATAGGATATTGAAATTTATGTATAATATTCGCAAGGACACAAGGTATTAAAAATATTTCTATCAGAAAACGTTTGATTCAAAAATTGCTAATATGTCCAAAATGGTTTAAAGAAATGGTTTTCTTTTGTATACATATACCATTTGCCCTCTTAACTTACAAATTGATTTTTATTATTCAACGCCATAGCAAATTAGCTTATTTCAGATGACGATTATAGAAGAAATGATAGAATGATTTTATAGAATGATAGAAAAAATTTGTTTTACAAAACATATTCGAGTATAAAAAACGAACAAAAAAGATTACAAAAATTCTAAAATTAATGAGGTTTTCCGTAAAAATATCAAATATTTTTTAATAAAATCCAATAATATTCATCATTATAATTCCCCCAAATCTATATAAGTATATATTTGTTACTAAATAAAAAAAAGTTTTGTAGACTAAAAATTAGTCTAAATAAGAAAACTTTAAGCCTTTCAATCTCAGTAATGGTCTGAGATATATTTGGGTTTTTGATGGAATTTTTTTTTTTCGGAGCAATGACCTTTTGTCGCCTTCTATTTTGGTAAATGAACCATCCTCTAATACAATTATTGTTTATTTCTTGAATCTATTAATCATTTACAAAAATTACTTGTATATGATACTTTATTACTATAAAATATAATGATTAGATAATCGACTAAACGTAACTGTTATACGTTTAAAAATTACTATTGTATAAATCATAATTTTATTCTCACAGTTTATTAGAAATAAATAATACTGAGTAATACTGAGTAACTCCATACACTGAAAACTTATTATATAAATCTTATCAGATAGATTATCTATAAAGAGATTTCGAAACGTAGTAAACTACAACAACAAAAATTTATTTTTATATTATTTTAATTAATTGAATTTTTGACTGGCCATACGGCTGTTTCGAGTATTGCCAAATAACCATCATCTGTGGTCTTGGAATTATTTTTTGTATTTAATTATTTGTAAATAAATTTTTGAGACTGCAGGTACAAAGGATTGAACTAGTACCCTGCCAAATTTGGAGCTCAGCGTTAGCATTCATTGCCAACATTAGCCATTAGACCCAAAGCCGTACTTGACTTATATGTTCTGGAGTTTATCTATAAAATAATCAGAATTAATTGTACAATAACTCTAGCCGTTCTTAAGAAAACTTGCCTGCATCGATTTCTTAAAGAGTTACACTTCAACAGTAGTGATTAGAACCTTTGGTCGTTTATATTGACAAGTGCTTGTGTGATCAACTTAGCATCAATAGTGTAAATTAATCATTATCATACATACATCAGAGTCATATTGACAAGCATATTAAATATATAATGTATACCGTAATCGTTTTTAGAAACTGTGTAAGTAAATTATATTATTGATTTGAGCTTCTTTGGTTCAATGAGCGACCAATGAGCGAATTATGAAACAACTCGTCAAAGAGGACTTGGTACCATTTATTTATGATAGTTGCTTAGACCTACTGTAAGATCTGTCATGGAAGTGGTGAACGCGACTTACTCGTTTGTGTTATCTGATACAAATGGTGGTACACATACTGATAAACCGACAAAACAGATTCTAGAGACTATTAAGTACTAAAGTACAAGTCAAAACTCAGCAATCTCACGCTAATCACAAAACAAATAATGATTTTGAATGTTCAAAATTTTAGTTTTACTTAGTCAAAGTTAATTTTACTAATCATAATTTATTATGAGTTCAACTTTGGTGAATTAATATAGGCGGGAATGACACTACGTTGTTGTAAATCAAATTTCGGTCTAATCTCAGAATTTTGTCAAACATTTATTTTTTATGGCTTAGGATATATAAGTTACTCTGGTTGGTTTAGTTGCAGTACAATTTCGTCTTCTATGCTATAAGCGCCGTTACCTCTCCAAAAATGCGATCGGAAAATCTTAGTTTTAAAAGCAACCTTGTCGCTTGATAAATTATATTATTTTTTGAATGTCAACGTTCAGGATGTTCGGCAGGTTCATTAGTTTGTAGACTTCTATAGTCAAAGCATTTGTAAAGATAATTCAGTTGTTTCTTTTTCCTTTTCTTGTTTGTGGCTTCTGCATTTATGGTTAAAAGCGATATGGGTCTGTCTGTACTGCTACAAGTTTTGTCATTTGTATTTAGGCTAGTGGGACTTTTGTTCTGGGTTATAGCTTGGCTATGTTAGTTTGTAGTTTTTAAAGTTTTTTTCAGTTTTTTATTTGCGTTCTATATTCAAGGTCCTAAACGGTATTTGGTTCAGTTAAAGCCGTATGAAGATGTTAGACCTATTTACTGGCAATTGCACGGTGCCAGCATATAACATGTACTTGTTATACGTAATCTACAGGTGTTGGCGACTTTTAACATCATTTTTTAAATGTGCTGGTTTTTTCAAACTTAATTTATTATAAGTTATGTATTAATATGAGTAATTATATTGTAAATCAATTCTCTTTGGTGTTCACGTAAAAAATACTTCCGTAGCAAGGACACAGAGTAAACGTTTGCAGTAATCGTTTCTTTGATTGTAGCGACGACTGGAGTTCAATTTCCGTGAATGAAATCATAAAACAAAAAACAGTTGACCAATTTTTCGTTTTCGGTAAACGAAATAGTTTCCTAAGAGGTATTAGTTAACGTTAAGTTCACCGGAAAAAAATGTGATTTTAATTTAAAAGCATTTAAAAAATGTTTTTTAATCTCTACAACAGATCATAGACTTTTCAGGATTGTATACTGATTGTAGATTGTATTATATTAAAAAAAAAATATATATATAT